AGAACGGAATGTCGTTGTGTGTTGTGGGACTCCCGAGTGTGGTGATGGCTCGTCGGTTATGTACACCAGTCAATTGTAACCCTACTGAAATCCTACATCCAGCCAAGCACTTCAGACAGACAACCCCAAAAAAGCTGCTCCTCCTTCGAGGGGCGTGTGAATTTCTCCACTGCGTGTGAGTGTTTGTTTTCCCATCTCCTCATGTTCCGTCCTCTGCCAGGCTCTAGACGGCCGCTGGGTCGCAGCCATGTTCTGCTGCGAGATGGTACTTGGTCTGCTCGTTGGCGACTTCCAATCAGGTCGTGTCTAGTGACAGTTAGTGTGGCCTCTCTGACCGTTGGCTCAAAGTGTGACAGAATCACATGGGGGAGAATAGCAGGAACAAGGAGAGGGCTGAAAAACTCGATTGTCCTGCTGCAAGGAGCTTGAAAGGTCAGACGGTAGGTCTTCTGCTCACACCCTGCTGTACCTGCGGGCATTTGCAGCCGTGCTGTGATGAGCTGCAGCGGGGGCGCCGCGCAGCTGATTCATGCACAGTCAACTCAACCTCCAACTCGGTGCATTTCACGTTAGAACGCTGGGCGGAATGTGACTAAGATGTCTGTATGTGCGCCGTGTCTCTTAAAAACAATCCTCACCTTTGAGATAATGGAGATAATTGCGCATGCCTGAAACTGCACTTTTTCAAGCTGAAAAAGACGATCGCAAATCAGATGTTTGATGTCCGTGCTGCATAGCATGCTTTATGATAAAGAAACATGTTCGCCTGACGCGAATGGAAGTATGTTGAATACTGTAGAGCATCTGGAAATAGTTGTTTAAAATAATCCGTAATGAAATTGCATGGGAAGTGTTGATTGAAATTGTATCGAAAACTGATGTTTTTAGTTATATTTTGATCGAGTGTGATTGGACAAGGACGTTTGGTTTTGTATGGTGAAGTGTGGGTGTTTGGGTTGGGCTACATGTCGCAGTTTAATATGTATGCGTTTCTTTTGTGTCTCTTTTTTAAAAACCTCTGTATCCTGTATAGTATGTTCAAAAGTAGATGGTCAAGCGCTTCTAGTAACAAATCGAAAGACATTTGACGATAGAGGATACTGAAAAGTAAAAAGCTCGACATTTCCCTCACGCCGAAGAGTCACTGTGGTGTGCTGTTTTGGTGTGTGTCATAGGAACTGTTGTGCACACCCCCATCGTGAGGTGTGCATCGTGGTGGGGTGGGGGTGCGGTTGTAATGTGCCGGCCCCTGTCCATCTGTGGCACTACTGTACGCGCTTTGCCAATGCGAGACATGGTGGGTGACATTGGCAGTTTGCACTGGCACTCGTCTCATCTTTTTGCCTTTTCTCTTCCAAACGTTATTTTCTTCACGTGGCAGCGTGTGGTCCTGCAATGACTGTGCTCACTCCATCGGCTGCTTGTGTGTCCTATCACTCATTCACTCACGCTGGGTTTTTGTGTTTTGTTCTGTTCTGGTTCCGTCTGGTTGTACTTGACCCGCCGTTAAACTGCCTGTACAGTACGGCTGTGTGTTGGTTCAATTTTATTTAGATTTCTTGCAAGTGCTGAGTGCGGGGGGTGGCGGAGTTGCTTGGGAGCGATGGGCCTCAGCCGCCGTCAAAGACGCTTGAAGTACACCCACCCTGACGAGACTACTCTCGATCTCCCATGCTTTCTTTTTTTTTTTTTTTTTTTTTTTTTTTGCTGGTGCTTACTTGAAAACAAAAGGGGGGAGATTCTTTAATAAAATAATTCATCAAGCAACGGTATACAAGAAGCCTTGAAATGGTTCCAAACGATGTCATGAAGGACAGTCCTCCTAGCTCGGAAAGCGCGAGACGGGCTTGGGGAGGCAAGGGGCTGGGAAGGGGGGGAGGGCCGCCGTGAGAATGAGTCTGTCGTTCGAAAAAGGGCAACCAGCTAGTCCTGGGAGGAAAAAAACGAAGCAGATGTTCTCGACTCTCGAAATAATATAGTCTTGCTCCTCAAGTTGGATTAGAAAGAATGGTTTTCCTTGCTGTTTCTTTTATGTCAGTCCTCTTTTCGAGATCCCCACTCCCTCAGCCCCCTCACTTTCTTAGCTTTGACAGATACTCAGACTCCTCGGGCCTATCGACATCTTTTTATATCTTTATTCTGCCTTGTCTCAAGGGCCGGAGCCTACAGCATATCTAAATGGTGCTGTCTTAAAGTTCTTGTAATCTATCTTCTTGGCCTGTAGCTGTCTCGTTGACATGCGTTTGTCGAACCATCGCGGTGTGACAAACTGCCATAAACTCTCGATACAAAGTTGGCGGAGTTGGTGAGGAGCGGTGGAGTGGATTGTTAGTAGTGGTGTGTGTTTCATTTATTCCTTTGGGACAAAAACCACAAGCGCCCGACGACTCTGTTACACGCCACAATGGCCCAGAGGTATTACCTACAAGTAAAATGCTGTGTTCGCTAGCTCATGGCTGATGGCACCGTCACAGGGTGTCCTTCTACTGGCATATGAAGACCACAGAGATGAGCTGAATGTATTTAAACTTCAACCAAAACCTTGCAGTCTTTTCGTTAATGCACATTCTTTCGTATGGGGACTCGAGCACCACAGCGACTCGCTTGGTGTCTTGGCTCACATCGCCCGCGAAATAGCACAGAGGATGGCACGACGTTGCCGACAGGTTCTTCTGTTCAGTCAGTTCGCCTCTTGACTCGCGTGATGGGTCCCGGGAAGTCTCTCGCTCACCCTCGCCTCGCCACGTGTCGTGTGCAGGTGCGTGGTGTCGGATGGTGTGCTCGAGAAGCTGATACAGACGACGCCAATTCTTCCGGCACCAGCCTGACTGGCCCTGGCACACTCCCTGCCTGCCCTCGTGGTGGTGGGTGTGTGATGGTGGTGTGTGTGTGTTGCTGTGTGTGTGTGAGAGAGTGTACTCGCTGTGCTTTCGCGTGCCTGCACAACTCCTGATATATCTGCTGCACTGGCTGAGATGTAGGATGTATTTGAGAAGAAAATGTGCAGCAGCTTGTTGAGATCCAACCCCCCTCCTCCCAACACACACACACACA